TCAAGAATTTTTTTTCAACGTGAAAAAAAAATTGCCGAAACGTAAATGTTTATCGATAGCTGACGAATTTTTTACATTCGAAATAAATTCGATAAAGCGTTTATGCTTAAATACGTAAACATGCATTTATATTACATGTTATGCTATTATTTCGCCACAATATGTCATATATTTATCGTTGACAAATTACCACTGTCAACCGAACTCGGCTCAGGGTTTATTCTTTAATTAACAATGGTTATTCGTTTGATCTCTGTCCTATGTTCCCGACTTCCCGCCTACAACGGTGGCTACGCCCGTCCCCGTACACAGCCTAGGGCAGCTTTTTTCTCTTTCGTTCTCTTAATTGACAGTTTTTCCGAGCCAATACATTCTTCATTACTTACCGTACCTACAGTCATTTTGGTTTGGATTTCACGTCGATACGGCCCAAATAAGTTTTTACTATACATTCGGCGGTTAAAACCGCTTTCAAAAACACAGCGACTTAAAAACTTCTCGTATAGCCGTGTGCTACGTGTATGTAAATCTATAAAGGACCTACGGCGATATAGAAATCGCGGCGCATTCGGCACTCGATTCTTGTAAATTAAATGCCGAGTACTGTGCTATATAGCTCGACCGTGTATTGTACAGACGTGAGTATTATTGAATCGGATTATCCGCCGTTTGTCGGGGTATGTATGTCACGGCCGCCTAAATAATATTATTGTGCGCCAGGGTTTCCGCGGTTAAAATCGAAGGATCGCGAGTTACGGCGGAGACGCACGCGTTTAATATCGAAATATGTATTTTCAAAGAGAACGCGAACTATATACGAGCAGCAATAAAAAAGTACAAGATGCGTACTGGTTTCCGTGCGCGCGTAAAAGTGCGTAGAATAAAGTATCGTTGGACGGTCAGAGTAAATTTTTAAGAATTATTCCAAGGCTCGTTTTTGTACGGGTGTTAATAAAAAAAAACAAATATATACCGCGCGCCCTCGACCAAATAAATAGCGCGTATATTGCGCAAAGAGGGGGATTTTAGACCGCAGAGAAAAATGTGTATACGATAAATAATGACAAGTATAACGGTCTGCGATAGCCTATAGGTGAACCCAACAACGATAAATACGACTTTATTACGCGTGTTATTGTCATATTTACAACGTTTTCGCTGACAGAATAATAGTTATCGGCATAAGAATTGTTATTATCAATGAAAATATTGTATTCGTTATTTTATTATATGTTTCGATAGTGGAGCGTAATGTATTGAGAAACTAAAGACGCGAAATGTTCCGTTTCGAATTGGAGCGATTATTTCACTTACCTATTTACGCCGTTTTACGGTACGTCGGCACTGTACTCGAATGCTAACTTATAATAATAATAATAATAATATATCGTACAACAACATTATAGCAATTGTATTGTTTTAGGCGAAAATATAATTTAGTATTTTCGTGCTGTAAATAAAACGTCCGAGAGCCTCGGATTAGCATTTCATCGAAATAATAAGTTTTACCGTTACGACGGATAATCGAACGTCAAATATTCAAATGATTACCGGATAAGGTGGCGAGTATTCAGGATATTCTCGGAAATAAAATATGCACACATATATTTTATCATTTTGAGTGAAAAATTGAAATAAATAAAAAAATTTATGATATTTCGATCATATCAATCTAATTGTGTAATAATAATCGTTTACATTATGCGAGTACAGTCGTTGTGACGTATTAGGGGGAAGTGGTCCGAAAACGAAAACGAAAAAAAAAAAAAATCAATTTTCAAGAATAAAACGATAACGGTCAGAGAGCGTAAATTCGATACCCAGCTATATTTAAATTTGTAATATCCGAACATTAAATAGTGAAAATACTGTATTTAATGGTAAAATCGCTTCGGCCCCGGGCGAGCGAACGGAGAATGTGGATCGAGAATAAACCCCGATTTGTTATTGCAAAACCGCGTCCGGTAGAATTTTTATTTCGTGCGCGGTATGTTAATACACTACCGGGTCTCGTCACCGATATCTTATCGTACCGAATTTTTATCATTTCCGGACTGCGGCCCGTAATCGACGCGTTCCGACTTTCGTTACTGAGTAGTGTCATTGCAATATTTGCGATTAGTTTTTGCGCGAAACAAAACCTACAGCCGAGTATATGTGTGCGAGGATAATTATTTTAAATTACGGGACGTTGCGGCGCGAACAGTGGCGCAACTAACTGGTGTAGGGGATTGTGTTCCCCATTATGAGTGTTTTTTTTACGAATTTCGTCTGAGAAACGCTTAACGGAATGGCCATTTTAGACGCATGCACACAGACGTTATTGGAATTAAATCCGGTGCAAATCCAGCGCTTGATGAAACGGCGAGGCACTCTACGTTATGAACGAAAGCTGAAATTCGTAAAGGTTTCATTCGTAAACCCGACCGACCGTACCCACTCCACCCGACTCGAACACCGTCCGTAATTGAATTTGATTGAAATTCATAACCCCCCCCCCCTCCTCACCACTCCCGTCCACCCGAAAATAAATCCCGGCCGCGCGCGAAAGTTCCGGACCGGTATAAAACGGCCGCGCGCCGAGGGATATCATCGGGACGTCGGATCCCAAACCGGTAACGTCTCGGGAAATCCGGGACGAACGGCCGCCCGGAGGTGTTTGACGTACGGTAATCGTATCGGCGATCACGATATTATTGTACGCGGCCGGCCACGTGCGATTATCGGGCGTTACGTTACTTCGGTATATTATTACGATATCATTTGTCGGCCGAGCTGGGCTGTCTGCGGCGCGGTCCGTTCGTTCGGATTTCTTTCCTCTCTCGAATATTATCATGTTGTTCGGACGGACGGACGCGCGTTTAAATAATTTAACGGAACGCTTTCGCGGGGTTATCGGCAGTGTCGGCGGTATTTATACGTATAGGTATATTACACCGCGGCACGGCGATGATCGTGTAATAATAATATGTATACCAATCGTTTCGGTACGTGTTCGGAGGGGAACACACTCGGAGAGGTGAATTTGCCCGAACACGTTGCCCGGCGGTAGATGGGTGGTGTTCTGTATTTTTATTTTATTTTTTCGTACACGACGAACGAATCCGAATAAAAAATGATAATATTGTACGCGATGCGTAATATAAAAAACAAACGGAAAAAAAAACGCGATTCCGATTTCCACAAAAAGCCCGTCCGACGCGCGCGCGTTGTTCCTTCTTTGCAGGCGAAATGAAGAAAAACGAAACCGATTCGTTTACGTTTGTTCGCGGAAAAAAACGGCATGCGGCGAGTGTACAGACACATCAGAAATACGTTTGGTATTATTATTTTGTTTTTTTTTTTTTTTTTACATATAGTTACGCCGTCTGTATATTATATGCGGCTCAGCAACAGCGCGCATCCGGACCGGTTGTATTTACGAGAGATCCCGTGCGAGTGTCGTCACGGTTTTCCGTACAGTACCTAACCGCGGTCGTGTGCCGTACACGACGTGTCCCGTGAAGATCTGACGAATTAAACAACTTTCGATTTGTTCGATTTTTTTTTCGCGTTTTTCTTTTCTGGATTCCGAGCGGAGCGACGAATGTATTGGTATTACAATGGCGTTTATTTTTTGTGTTTTTATCGTTTGTTTTTTCTCCGTCGAAGACTTTTCTACCAGAAAGTGCGCTCCGATTTTCAAGTGTAGCACACTTTCAGAAAGTAAATCAAACTGGGACGGTACATTAACGAGGTCATTTTTCGATTTTCTCAGGGGTTTTCATAATAAACGGGAAAAACGGGAACATGTAAAAAAAAAAATGTTATTTTCAAATCGTAAATAATAGGTCGGCTTTTTAAAACGCGTGTAACCGAACTCCACTCAAAATCGGTTTTCGTTAACAATGATTAGTCGTCGCGTACAGGTGCGCATTAAATTCCCCTCTATATCCCACCTTCCCAACTACTCACCTACAACCGTGGCCCACCCGTCACGCGATGTATGGCCGTAACTTTTTCTATTTTTAACAGCACAACTACAGAGATTCGCGGTACGGTTGTATCGTGTTTATGTTTTTAATCTAAAATTTTGAAAATCTGAGACGGGCATTTTACGAATTATTTTCAAACGGGTAATGAACGTTGATGTTCCGAACGTTTTCTAACGATGTGTGTAATTGTATTGGCCGCAATGTTTTGAAGTTTAGGATGATTTAAATTTCTTTCGTCGCCGCCACTGACAGATAATAATAATTAACCGACGATTCGTCAAATTCGTCTGTGAAAATTGATTTTGCGAACGATTCCGGTAAACTGCGAAAAATAAAAAAAAAAAATCGTCGAAAATTACCGGTTCCTCGTTCGGCGAGAGTTCGTGACGCGTGCGCGCCAGACGCGAACCCGATTCTCCGTGACCGGGGCGGCAAAATGTCCGCCGGGTCTCCGTAGCGCGCCGACGGCGACGGACGTCCGGCGAGAGTCCCTTCGACTCGGCCCGACGTGACGACCCGCGACCGCGGACCGGACCGCGGGCAGGCGGCCGACGACGGATGACGAATATTCGGCCGAGTCGCGGCCGGACGAGTCACCGCCGTTTGGCGACCGTCGGCGTTCCCCGAATACACGTGCGCGGCCCGACGCGGCCGGCGCGGTACGGGCGCCGTCCGTCCCCGCGTCGGTTCGACAGTAGTATCGAGTGCCTGTACACGACACGCGTGTACGGTATCAAAGTATTATTGCAACATTGTACGGCTGCGAAATTTCGCCGCGTAGTACCGACGCATAACGTTTTAAGGGGAAACATTCGGCGCGCGTTATTGTCGTGCTCAAGAGCGCGTACCGCGTGCCGCGGACAGCGCCTGCCGTCCTTTATAATTTACATTGTTAAACAATAGTACGCTGAACGCGAGTCCATACCTAACCCAACCGCGTTATGAAAAATTCGTTCTGGGCGAATATTAATATGTCGAAAAAAGGGGGGGGGAAAATATCGGGAAAAAAAAAATGGGAACGAATTTGATTGCGGTTTGATTGTATCTACGGGGCTGCCTGCGCACGAGCGCGCCAATCGCAGACGCCGTCCCGCTGGTCCGAGCCGCGGAGTCTGTTGGCCGCTTGGTTTCCCCTCTGGCCCGATCCGTCTCCCCTAAACTATAACCTGGCCACGTCAATATGGGGACCGTGTTGACGCAAACCTTAGAGCGGACGTCCGTTCAGCGCGGACTGACCCGGCCCAGGTTTTCCCTCACCTCAAACCATCCGCGCAACTCGACTTCCGCGCAGCCGGACGAAATTATTGTAGCGAATACTTCTTTTTCAATACCGTAATCGCGTGAAAAATTCCCGACAAAAACGAACAATTTCAATTAAACGAACACACAAACCACTCAAAATTCCTCAAAAAAAAAAAAAAATGTAAACCCACCGAACGGGCCGGACAATGATAATTCGAACGCCCGGGCACAAACTACTCGCGCGGGTACCTACACTTACGTGCCTACGTCGTACGTCGGCACGCTATTTATATCGACCGGGTCGGCCACTGTAATATGCGTTTGCGTGTGTAGAGATGTACTTGCAGCTCAATCAGAGAAAATCGAAAAATGACCTCTTTAAAGTACCTCCCTGGTGAAATTTCTTTTTAGAAAAATTGTTGTCGTTAAAAATTGAACCGAAATTGCCGGTATAAAATTTGTCTACAGAAAAAAAAAAATAAAATTAAAAAAATAAACATCTTTGTAAAACTATAAGTTTCCTCGCTCCACTCAGAATCTAAAAAACATCTTTGGTAAATTTGTATTTATAGCCAATTAAACGAAAATAAAACATCCCGAAATAACGGTTTCAAAATGAAACTTTCATTATTTTCGATTTTGTTTTAATTCCATTAAAAATAAATGTTAATACCTGCGATTTTCACAAAAAATACTAGCCATGATTAGAAACTTGAGAAAAGATTGTCGATTTTGTACACTTGAAAATTATTCACCTATACTTTTGAATTATAAATTAACGACGCGTCAAACACGTACTAACCGTTTGAAATATTAATATCTCGTAGAGAGATTTCGGAACATTTAATTTTTTTAAATTAGTCTACAATTACTGTATCGTAAATTCGGCAACGTATAAAGTCGGTTCGATTCTGTCGAGTACAAAACACAACAAATCGACTAATTTGTGTAACGTTTGAAATATTGTTTGATAAATTTCAGTCATTTCAGCAGTTTATGCTTCCTTCGAAATCTTATTTGTATCAATACAAATGTTGATCGATGTTTGAAGACTGTTTATGGCATACTTTAAATAACCGTTCGAATTCCTATATGTTATACCTGTAAATATTTTATTATAACAATATTTTATAATAGCGTTAAATGTTAGGTGTTTATAGCGAAAAAATCCATTTCGCGTATTTCACGCACGTGTTGAGCAATATTATATGCAGATTGTATATCATTAATAATGTGAACAGTTGAACTTGAAAATTAAGATCTGTAGAGGGGGGGGGGGAAATTGTACGATGCGTATTTGCAAGCAGAGTCAAAGGAAAATTAACGATTTGTATTTTTTTCCGTTCGCTTTTCAAATTAAATACTAAAATAAACTCGAAAATGTCAAATACCCGTACACAACTGAAAAATATCGAGAATATTGTTTTTAATCGCGTCTTGAAAATGCTTATACAAGTCTTCTGTGAACACTCCGGGTCTCTACGATTATGTTTAACCAAACATAAAAACAAAATCGAAATTAATAATACCGTTATTCCCGTAATTTTTCCCGTTTTTCCCGAGTTTTGTTCCAATTATTAAACAAACGAATTTCCAACTCGCCAAAAAGACAATGTTCTAATTTTAGAAAGGATGCTAATCGTAAAACTCGGAACACGATTCCTGGTTAGAACTAAACTCGTTTTGTCCGTTTCGTCTACCCGTTTTTTTTTTCCAAATTACTATGAAAATTACACGGGAAATCAAAATCACCGACCTGCCCGATACACTGACTAGATTCCGGAAAAATTTGTTTGCCGTTCGTCGATCGGAGCCGCGCTGCTGGAAGAATTGTTTACCGACGGAAAATAAAAATCAACTAAACGCATCGTGGTATCACAGTAAAACCGCTGGATTCAGAAATTAAATGAAAAAAAAAAATAAAAAAAAAATACGTGATTTTTCATATAAACTCGATATTTCTTCTTGGGCCGAAAATAACGATATTATTATAATAGTAATTCCGATAATAATAAGACAACGACGATAATTCGTGTTGGAGATAGAAAATGGTGAGGCGACCGAGCGTGACGAGTTCGCGTACTACATAACATAATAATAATAATAATAATAATAATATAATACCTCGGATACATCACGCGGAAGCTTTACGCTCGTATAACGAATTAAGATGGAGTTTTTTTTTTTTTTTTTTTTTTTTTTAATGATGAAATCTGTACGGCAACTACTGAGGCGTTACCGGACGCAAAAACTTCGAAGGGTATTTTTGTTTTTCCACGAAATAATTTGGATAATATATTGAAAATAGACAGTGGAAATATAATATTATCCGAGAAAAAAAATAATAATAAAAAAGGTAGGTTACCTATAGCGTACAGTAAGTGGTGTATATATGTATGGGACAATGGTCGCTCTTTCACTTCGTCGTATGTACGCGATTCCCAATGCATGTACGGAGTGATTCACCAAGCGTGCTCACCCCATTATTTTCAGGTAAAATTTCACATGCATTCAAATTTTGACTTTTGGAATTTTTTAACGTATTTAAAACCGATAATTTCGAATACTTAGATTTGTCAGAACACGTGCTGCCGTACGAACGATACTCCGCTGTTCTCCTTCCACTTGAACCTATTAGTGGAATATCTCGTTCGGCGGGTTGACGGAAATCAAAAATTTCGACACCAAAATTTATTTATAGGAATACTCCGTCTATTTATACAATTTTTAATATAGATTCTCATTTGAAACCCCGAATTTGGTATGGCCACAGGATGGATAAATGTTGTGAAAAATCTAAGTATTCGAAAATATCAGCTTTACTTACACTTAAAAATTGCGAAAATCAGAATTTGAATATATGCAAAATTATACGAAAAAATGGTTAACACACTGAATAATTTGACGGAAACGGCCGTGTCTCACTTTTTTGACTTCAAAACTCTTATCATATCTCCCGTCACCTTTAGAAAGTTCGTATCCCATTTTTATCAAATTTATAATCTAATCACTCTGGACGGATAGAGATACGACTTTTCCGCGGACGATACTAACATTGTATAAATATTATTATTAAGTACATTAAATTATATATTTTTCTTTTTGGATATAATAGATCACTATGATATTGTAATAAATCAATGTATTTTTTGACTAAAAGAATCCATGGCCAAAATAATCACCAAATTTATGTCGAATATTATGAAAATCAAAATAAAATTTGAAATATTTCGCGTCTTTTGCACTTGTATCGTATAGATACTTTTTTCCGAGTACCTTGCTCGTCCATTCGACTAGGTATACGTACAGTATGATAATATCGTGATTTTTGGATATTGTTGACGACGGATGATGACGGTGTGTGCAGCTAACGACGACGCGTTGTGTAATGGCGATGACCCGCGTCCAGTGCGCCGTGACGAACATCTCTCGTTCTCTATCTCTCATTTTTTCTCTTTCTATTTCTGGATAATATTCTTCCGATACCTGAGAGAAATTCTGAAAAATACGCGCGGACACACATATACACACATACACACACACACACACACACGTACATAGACCGTATTACATGGTGTGTGCGGCATTCGGACCGACGAGGGGCCAGGGGGATACACACCCGGAGTGCACGGTCGGCCGAACACGTAGACCTTCGTTTAACACTCGAGGTGACACCGACAACGACCGCCGCCATCACCGTGGACTGTATTATTATTACTATACGACTACATAGAGAGTATATTTTGTGTACGCGCGTATAAATATTGTACACGCGTGTACAGGGTGATCACAATCTCCGACGAGCAATGGCGTGACCGGCATTTATTTTTCAGAGTTCGGCGGGGAGGTCATACATTTTAAAAAATTAAATTTCATAAAACTTTCTGTAGAGGCGAGGCAGTAAAGTTAAATTAGATTTACGGGTAAAGTCTTCAAATTATTTAACTTGCGTGTATAGATAACGGCATATTGGAAAACAATATTTAGACTCTTGGTAAATACAATTTTCAATTCGTAATAATAATACTTTAAAAATTTACAACTTAATAAGTTGCGAAAAATTCCAAATTAATAATTATATTATAAAATTTAACCGGTTGCTTATAGTTTATAGCATCCGATATTTATATTGATGATAAAATCATACATCAAATCTAACGCCGAACGTAGTCTACAGTAACTAGTAAGTTGTAACCGGAAATATGCCTTAGCTGTTATCACTTATTTATACACTAAAGCAACACTTCCACGATATTATAACATTATGTTCGTAAAATCTCATAAATATATTTCGGGAGAGGGGGCCACAACCCCCTACTCTCCCATAGTTGCGCCACTGTCATCAAGATAATTATTATCTCAGATACTTTTTTGGGGCAATTCAAGAAACAAACAGCTCATTATTTTTCGGGAGTGACACCGTCAGTAATCACTTTTGATAGTATATATTGTAAATTTTATACACAGATGAAGTTACAGTGTAAATACATTTCGTTGTTGACATTTTTATTTCCCATCAACCCGTTAACGAGATATTCTACTATTGACTTAGCGTAAAGTAATGGATCATTATTTAAACGTCACGCGCCACCAGTGCTTGATTTAAACAAATATAAACGTCATGCATTACTTACTTTGGAGCTCTTTTTAAATTAAAAGATCGGTAAAAATGTAAAAAAAAAAAAAAAAACATTTAAAAAATATAGACCATACCTAATGCAAGTTTAATCTGTAAATCGCCACATATTTTAAAAGTTAATTACAATACGTATTTTATTCTTGTTTTTTTTTTCATTGAGTGTTTTCAAACATCGATTGATTAGTAATACCATGATTGATTGCTAGTAATGAAAAAGAATAGGTAAAATGTCTGTTGTGTTAAAGAAAAACGTATTCGAGTTTTTGTATACGCTTAAAAAAAAAAAAAAAAAAAAAAACATTTTTTT